CCCTCGCAGCCCCGGACCTTGAGTTCTCTCATCCACCCGTCCGGGAGGGCGGTCAGGGGGTTCGGAGGCGCTGGGCTGAGGGTCGGGGAGGGAGTGGGGTTCGAGCCCCGGAGGTCAGGGTCGCGTCCTGCGGGATCATCACTAGATGTTGTTCTACCCCGAAGTGAGGCCCCAGCTCTCAAGACCCGACCCGGTCTTCCTCGGGTTGGAAAGATCGCGGTGTGGTTCTCCCGCCAGGGAGGAGAGCCTCGATGGCTTCTTGAGATCTGTCAAGTGACAGCGACGGGGACATATGCTAAGACACCCCCCCCCCGAACTAAAAGGGGGTGCGGTCTGTCTCTGGTCTCCGAGGGAGTCCAGGGGGGAAGATGTGGCCCCACACTTGAAAGTGGCCCATTATAAAGACCATTATTCAGCCCTCCTCGGAGGGACTCACATGGCTCAGGGACCCAGGACATGGCTTGTGTTTTGCATTTTTAGCTGGACGCTGGAGCTCACCTCTGTAATCCCAGCTACTCAGGAGGCAGAGATCTGAGGAAAGTGATTCGAAGCTAGCCTGGGAAGGAAAGTCCTTGAAACTCATCTCCATTTAGCCAGAAGAGGAGCTGTGGCTGAGTGCCAGCCTTGAACAGGAAAAAAAAAAAGCTAAGAGCGCTCAGGCTCTGAGTTCAAGTCCCAGTACTGTCATAAGCAAACATAACATAAAAAGAATGCTCTGGAGGTGTCATAAAAACGCACACCTCAGCGCTTGGTTCTAATCTGAGTTAGAGGCCAGCCTGAGCTAGTTAAGAGAGATCCTATCTCAAAACAGAACAAAATGCTTGTCATGCTTTGAATATATCACTACAGCATTCAGCGTTGTTTGGATGGGAAATTTGGGTTATGCATGTATTTAACGCAGGTGATATTCACCTCTTTGTGTGTGTGCTAGTCCTGGGGCTTGAACTCAGAGCCTGGGCACTGTCCATGAGCTTTTTTTTTTTCTTTCTTTCTCTTTTTCTTTTTTCTGCTCAAGGCTAGGGCCACAGTTGTACTTTCAGCTTTTTTGGTGGTTAATTGTTGGTAAGAGTCTCACAGACTTTCCTGCCCCAACTGGTTTCCACCCCCAATCCTCAGATCTCAGCCTTTCTAGAAGCTAGGATTACTGAGAGGCATGAGAAACAGCCGCCAGGTTGATATCCACCTTCTTTATTCACCAACGCTCATCAGATCTACAAGTAGGTTTTCAGACTCTAAACAAAATACATTATATGCAGATATTAATCCCCTTGGGTTTATCATTCCAAAGGGCAGAATACCCTTGAAGGAGAAGTAAATATGAAACTTATTCTATTGTGCTTATACCCTATTAGTTTGGCATATTAGTAAAAATGGTTTTAAAATTGGAGAAAATATTAGGAATCTTGTGCTGTCTCAGAAGTAATAAGAGTCACTGTAATAATTTGAGAAGACTTACAGGCTGAAAAGATACCAGGAATGCAGAAATAGAAGGATTTCATCTTTTTTTTTTTTTTTTGCCAGTCCTGGGGCTTGAACTCAGGGCCTGGACACTGTCCCTGAGCTTCTTTTAGTTAAGACTAGTACTCTACCACTTGAGCCACAGGGCCACTTCCAGATTTTTCTGTTTATGTAGTACTGAGGAATTGAGCCCAGGGCTTTATGCATGCTATGCAAGCACTCTACCACTAAGCCACATTCCCATCTTAATGTCATGAAAATAATAAATTTATAACATGAAAATCCTACGCTCCAGTATAGAACACAGTATAGAATTCTGTAAAGGTCTTCCAAAAGTGAGATTTGTATTACCAGATTAGGAAATTGTGATTGGGAAGAATAAATTAAGTAACATGTCAGAGCCTTTTACCACCTTTAAAATGAGGGCCTTGGGGCTGGGTATGGTGGACAGCCTCATAATTCCACATTCAAGAGGCAGAGGCAGTCTCTTATTTTAGGGCAGCCTTGGCTATATAGCAAAACCTTGTCTCAAAAACACTAACATGAGGCTGGGAAGGTGGCTCAGTGGTAGAGTGCTTGCCTTGCATGCATGAGGCCCCGGATTCCATTCTTCAACACCACATAAGCAGAAAAAGCCGGAAGTGGTGCTGTGGATCAAGTGGTAGAGTGCTAGCCTTGAGCTGAGGAGCTGAGGGACAGCACACAGGCCTAGAGTTCAGATCCCACAACTGACCAACAAAAAACACTAAAATGAAATAGACCTTTATCTTATTAAATAATCTTTTAGAGACCTGTTTTAATGTTCTGTCGAGAGACGTCCTTCAGAAGAGGCACACAGTTTCTCACTTACTGCCTCATTTAGCTTAGGTAGTCCTCTTAATTCAATATAATTTTCATGTATCCTATTACACTGAACCAGGAGAAAGCTTGGCCGAAGAGTCTGTAAACATACCTGCTAAGTACTTCCTTATCACACCACTAGGTATGTTACCTGGAATTAACATTTGATAAAACTTAAATATAGTAACCCTAAAACTGAGGGAGATATTGAGTTAATAATACAAAATGTAATTCTAGAAGGTTTTCAATCAAAGACTTAACTTATTCAACATACTGAAAATATTGAAATTTTTAGAATCAAAGAAAGGTTGTATTCTAATAGATATTTAAATTCTAATTTCTCCTTTACTAATCCATATTCATATCACTGTCTTCCTAAAATTTCACTTTGTGTGTGTGTGCGTGTGTGTATGTGTGTGTGTGTGTGTGTAGTTCTGTGGATTGAATTCACTATTTCAATTTTAAGAAATTATTCTTAAGCCTGGCACCTCTGTGACTCAAGTGGTAGAGCACTTGAGCAAAATAGCCCTGAGCAAATATGCTCAGAGGCCATCTAGTTCCTGAATTCAAGCCCCAGGACCAGCACACACACACACACACACACACACACACACACACACACACACACAAGCAAGCAAAAACAAAACAAGTTATTTTTAGCTGAATATGATAGCACATTTTTTAAATTATTACCTTTTAGTAGCTGTAAAAATAGTTTTAGTGCGCTGGTGGCTCACGCCTGTAATCCTAGCTACTCAGGAGGCTGAGATCTGAGGATCGCGGTTCAAAGCCAGCCCGAGCAGGAGAGACCGTGAGACTCCTATCTCCAATAAACCACCAGAAAACCGGAAGCGGTGCTGTAGCTCAAGTGGTAGAGTGCTTGCCTTGAGCTGAAGAGCTGAGGGACAGCGCCCAGGCCCAGAGTTCAAGCCCCATGACCAACAAAAAAAAGAAAAATAGTTTTAGTTTGACTTGTTAATCTATGTGACACATTTCTTTCTTTTCTTTTTTTTGGTAGGTTGTGGGCCTTGAACTCATGGGTTGGGTGCTGCCCCTGGGGCTCTGTGCTCAAGGCTACACTCTACCACTTGAGCCAAGCACCCCTTCCAGCTTTTGAGGGGCTAATTGGAGATAAGAGTCTAATAGGCTGGCTTTGAACCGCGATCCTCAGATCTCAGCCCCCTGAGTAGCTAGGATTACAGGTGTGAGAGCCACTGGTACCAGCAGGGGGAGGTAGGAGGACTGTGAGTTATAGAACTGACTGGGCCACATAACAAGACACTGTCTCAAACAAAAAATAAAAAGTTGTTCTAAAATCATAGAACCCTTTGTTTAATATTATTAAAGTTTGTACTCTATTCACCAATTTTTCAAAGACTTTGTTATATTCTAACATGGACAGAATGGAATACAAAACGAACGGCATATGCTCTCAACTATCTTTATTCATCTTGTAATAAACAATTATGTTTATATGCA